GAGAGCGGCTGGCCCCGAGCAATGGCTGCTCTACTCTCGTAGGCACATGGAGGGTAAATGGCCCGATGCATGGACAATGGGTAACCGGTGCGGTGCCTATAGATGGACAGACCAATCCTGGACGCGGAGCTCCCCTTATTGATGTATAAATGGTGGCTGATTGGCTCCGCCCATATACATGGATGGACAATGACTGACCAATCGTGGTGAGCTCCCTACCCTATGAGCCAGAGAGCACCAGTCACCTACTGTCCGCGTGCAGCATCTATAGAAGGAGAGCTCCATCCAGGACACGCCAACTACCGTCCACGTGTCTGTAGGAGCAGTACTCCCCCCTATAGAAATGTAGGAGGGTTTGGATGTCCCGGGGGAGGACTCCTGCGCTATAGATACGGGAATGGTAGGGAAGCAATCCCCACTAGTACTCCATTCTATGGACAAAGAGGACCGGTGATGGAAAACACTCTACAGCCAAAGAAACACAGGACTGGCCACTCCCACCCCTATACACGTCAATGACCAACCACCATATACATCCAGTAGTAGGGATTTCACTGCCCTATCCATCCAGCGCTCTGTCCCTATAGATAGGAGGACGGTAGGTAATCGATCATTATAGATATGAGGACGGTAGGTGATCGATCCCTATAGATATGAGGACGGTAAGTGATCGGTCCCTATAGATAGGAGGACGGTAGGTGATCGGTCCCTATAGATATGAGGACGGTAGGTGATCGATCCCTATAGATATGAGGACGGTAGGTGATCGGTTCCTATAGATAGGAGGACGGTAGGTGATCGATCCCTATAGATATGAGGACGGTAGGTGATCGGTTCCTATAGATATGAGGACGGTAGGTGATCGATCCCTATAGATAGGAGGACGGTAGGTGATCGGTTCCTATAGATAGGAGGACGGTAGGTGATCGATCCCTATAGATAGGAGGACGGTAGGTGATCGATCCCTATAGATAGGAGGACGGTAGGTGATCGCTCATTATAGATAGGAGGACGGTAGGTGATCGATCATTATAGATAGGAGGACGGTAGGTGATCGATCCCTATAGATAGGAGGACGGTAGGTGATCGGTGGTGGACCGAGGGAGGTGTCGGTCACTGTCACCCCCGGCGGCGGGCGGATCCGGGCCCCGGGTGATGGGCACACCCTCTCTCCGCCCAGTGGCCGGCTCAGCTGGTACCGGAGAAGATTCGGGCTTGGCTCCTCCCCCTCGGGCCGTACAATGCTGATGTCAGGAGGCGGCGCCCGATTCGGGTGATGGGTGCGGGGGATGCTGCGGCCCGGCGGGTGAGATCCGGGGATGTGTACCGGGGACCCGATGTCACTCCGGGTGTGCGGTGTATACCTACAGGGAGGAGGAGGGGCCCGCAATCCGGGAGATACAATGTAACACTATGACGCGGCTCAGACAGGGGGGAATATCGGACTCAAAATCGGGGTGTAGTATTGTAGGGGTGTGGTATTGGAGGGGTGTGGGGGGGTGTAGTATTGGAGGGGTGTAG